CCTAAGAAAAAAGAGTCTGTAAAAGTGAGTGATTTTCGGCCTATTAGTCTTGTGACAAGTTTGTATAAGGTGATTTCTAAAGTTTTAGCCTCGAGATTGAGGGAGGTGATGGGGAGCACCATCTCCTCTTCCCAGGGAGCCTTTGTGAGAGATAGGCAAATTTTGGACGCTGCTTTGATTGCTAATGAGTTAGTGGAGGAGAGCAGGAAACGTAAGAAAGTTGGCTTGGCTTTCAAAATCGATTTCGAAAAGGCTTATGATCATGTGGAGTGGCATTTTGTAGATGATGTAATGCTTAGAAAAGGGTTCGGGGAAAGGTGGAGAAGTTGGATTAGAGGTTGTCTTGACTCGGCAAATTTTTCTGTTATGATCAACGGCAGACCTAGAGGTAAGTTTAAGGCCTCTAGAGGATTGAGACAAGGTGACCCTCTTTCTCCCTTTCTTTTCATTCTGGTGATTGATGTTCTTAGCCGCATTCTTGAGAAAGCTCAGGATTTGGATGTGTTTCACGGCCTTGTTGTTGGCCATGACATGGTGGAAGTTTCTCACCTCCAGTTTGCCGACGACACGATGTTTTTTCTCGGGGACAAGCTGGAGTATTGGTATAATCTACTGGAGATACTTGACCTGTTCTGTTTCATCTCAGGTATGAGGATTAATAAGGAGAAATGTTCTTTAGTATGCATCAATCATAATGAGGAGGTTGTTTCTGGGTTGGCTGAGGTTTGGGGCTGCGAGCTGGGAATCTGGCCTACCTTGTACCTGGGTCTCCCCCTTGGTGGGAACCCCAGAGCCCTTAGTTTCTGGAACCCAGTTGTGGAGAGGGTTGATAAAAGGCTGCAAAAATGGAAAAAGGCTTGTTTATCCAAAGGCGGCAGGCTAACTTTGATTCAGGCCGTCTTAAGCAACATCCCCATTTATTACTTGTCGCTTTTCAAAATGCCAAGTCGTATTGTGAAGATTGTTGAGAAGCTGATGAGAGATTTCTTGTGGGAGGGTTTGGACGATGGGAAGTCCTCTCACTTGGTTAAGTGGGAGATTGTTGGAAAACCAAAATGCAAAGGTGGCCTAGGGGTGGGGTCTTTAAACTCAAGAAACAAGGTGTTGTGTGCCAAATGGCTGTGGCGGTTTCCCAAAGAACCTGAGTCACTTTGGCACAAGGTGATTAGTAGCATCTATGGGGAGAGTGCCAATGGTTGGAACGTTAGCATTCCGTTGCGTAGTTCTTGTCGTAGTCCGTGGAATAATATTTCTCGTGGTTACCCAGTGTTTCTTCTTGGCTGTGACCTTGTGGTGGGTAACGGGGACAAGGTGAGATTTTGGGAGGATGATTGGAGCAGGGGGGGTGTCCTCAAAGAGGTTTTTCCCAGACTTTTCAATCTGTCCAGCAAACAGAATGCCAACATTTCTGCATTTGTGAGTCACGGTGTGTTTCCTCACAGTTGGGATCTTGGTTTTAGAAGAAATCTCTCGGTGGGGGAATTTGACGAGGTGACTAGGCTGCTGGTTATCCTTGATGAAGTTAGGATTAACCCCTCTAGGAGGGATTACAGAAGATGGAAGTTAGATCAATCAGGGTTGTTCTCTTGCCACTCTTTCTATTCCTTCATTCAAGATAACGGGTCTGTGGAGAGTTTTCCCCCATACAATCTGATTTGGAAAAGTAAAACTCCTCCAAAGGTTAAGGTTCTCGTTTGGCAAGCTGTTATTGGAAAAGTTAATTCCTGCGATCTCTTGCAGAGACATCGTCCTTTTATGTGCTTATCCCCCCATTGGTGTGTGTTATGTTATTCTGATGGGGAGTGTGTGGATCATTTGTTCATTCATTGTCCTTATTCGATTCAGATATGGTGGTTACTGCTGAAGGAAGTTGGAGCTGTCTGGGTTACTCCTAAAGGTTGTTTTCAGTTATTTTCCTCCAATTTTGTTGCGCTGGGCAAAGGGAGAAAGGCTAAAGTCCTTTGGGGTTGCCTTTTACAGGCTCTTTTCTGGAATTTGTGGTTTGAACGGAATAAAAGGATTTTCGAGGACTATAAGGGGGCGGGGGTGGATGAACTCTGGGATAGAGTGAAGTTTTGGGCTGCTTTATGGGCTTCCGTCACCAATGCTTTTAAGGATTTGAATGCCTCTGTTATTAGTCGCGACTTGTGTGCGGCTGTGAAGTGATGGCCTTCTTGTTTCCCTGTTTCGTGTTATGGTGTTTGTATTTTCTTGGCTGTTTTGTTTCTCCTTTCCAGGCTTGGTTCCTTGTGGGAGCTGAGGCTCCCTGTTTTTGTTTCCCCGTGGATTCCTTATCCACCTGTGTTTTCTCTTTTCTGTGGTTACTGTCTCTATTTTGAATATATAAGTTTCTATTCAAAAAAAAAAAAAAATCAACTCCTTGATCACTTTGATATTGTCAAAAACAAATTTGAGATATAATTTATATTTTGCAGTACGGTACAATAAGCTATGACTATTGCAGTACTTTCAGATTGCACTGCATTGCTTTTTGTTCTTGTTCTTGTTCATCTTTCTCCCAATATACATGAAGAAGAAAGAAGCTATGACTATTTCCAGGAAGTGCAAGTCTTCTGCTACCACCCCTTTGAAAATGTGGCACACACTGCCAAGGCTTCTCATTTTCTACTTTGTTTTCACCACCTTTTCTTTGACCTCGGTTTCATCTGCACATTCTAACCACATCTCTTATTCTGATCATTGTGATTCAGTTGTTCCTCAGTCAACCCCAAGAAGATATTCGGAATTAAAATACTCAGAATTTCAAATTCTCCAACAGCGTACAGGTTACTACACTGGTGGTGGCAGTGGCAGTGGCATACTTAGTAAAAACTCATCATATCAGCCTTAATATGAGCCCCAAAATTCAATTGAATTCAACACCTGGAGTGTTAAAAGAACTTATGTACAAGGCTTATTCAAGATTCAGGGAAATCTTCAATTTCAAAGAGACAGTATGTATTACTATGTGGGAAATCATCTGCCTCGATATAAGAGGTCTCAATCAATTCATCGGCAACCAAGTTCAATAAGCTTTAGACTAGATGGGTTCTGGTCAGAATCTTCAGGGAAGCTTTGTATGGTCAGAATCTTCAGGGACTATGGTAATTGGCTTAATGTTCCTGCTGTTCTTAAGCTCAATAATCTCATGAATTCTACTACTGTGACAAGTTTGATTAGTGGAACCTTAGAGAGCTTGGTGAGTTCTGAGAATGATCCACGGCATTTTGAACCAGTCTCTATTTTGATGCTTCCTTGTATGAATGAGTACACTTTGGTTTCAAATAAATCTGATAACAGTTATACTGGTGGAAGTAACACTCCCCCAAGTTCTTTGCAAATAGGGAGATTTTGTTCAGTACTTTCAAGAGTATTAAGACAAGAATTTGATCTCAAATATTCAAGCCATTGTGTTTCTGCAAAGAACTGCACTCCATTAGCCATGTCTGATTTACCTCGTCCACGTATTGTATCGTTGAAGAGTATTGGGTGTTCAGAGGATAAACAAAGATTGAGAGTTCTGGTAATATTTGCAGACAGTAACAACGTCTGGTATCAGAGGCCTTTCAATCCCAAAACAACATTAGTTGGGGAAGGGTCATGGGATGCAAAGAAAAATCAGCTATCAATTGTTGCTTGTCAATTCTTGAATGCAACAGATTCTTTGACTAATAGTCCTAATGTGGGCGATTGTTCAACAAGATTGAGCTTGATATTTCCTGCAATATGGACAAATGGAAACACTAGTAGCACTTTGGGGCAAATTTGGAGCAACAAGACTGTGACAGAGTTGGGTTACTTTGACAGGATCATGTTTGAAGCTCCTCGGAATTATATCGGGAGGGGTCCACTTCCAGGCTTGAAATATGAGTATAATAAAATTGAAAAGGTCTAAAATTGAGTATACTAAAAACAAATGTAAATTTTTCTGTTTTTCTTCTTGTAAGTTTGATGATTCCCTCCATAAACTCTCTACCGAAACCAGTCCCAGGTAGGATTTTAAATTTCCTTTTATTTTGGAAACTGTAGCAAAATAAAATGACCATATAAGATGGAGGTCAGGCTAACTAAAAAAAATGAGAAAATTATACCAACATTCTCTTGCAAGTGCTTTGTCAAAACAATAAATAATAAAAAACATCACGTTAACTAAAGAGGTCACCTTTCTGGTATCTCTGTTTTGTTTTGATTAAAAAAAATTAAAATCTCTGTTTTGTTTGTCTGTCCGAGTGACCTTTTCGCTCAGAACTCTCAAATCATGTCCAAAATCTCTAGCTTCATTACCTCTTCCCCACCCCCAGCTTGCTTGGTACTTAGTTCATGTGCTTAGGCCCTAATCTAAATCTAATTGACAATAAAATTTTAGCTTGCTGTGCACTGCAAGGTAATGTGTTTTCTGCAATTATGGCATGAGAAATGAAAGCATTAACTTTAAACTTGTTGCAGATTCTTGCATGGTGTTTGCACTTTCTAGGTCATTGTAATTAACGGCTATGGCACAGAGATGATTGCAAATTTGGTTGCACCATAGTATGATGTTTAATTTCACCAGAATAAAAAGCTTACAGAAGAGTTTCACCAGAATAAAAACCTTAAAGAAGAAAAAAGCAAAAAATCATAGAAATGTTGGAAACTGTTATTTGCACTCCAAATCTAGTTTCATCATGCAATCCTTATATGCAGAAAAGCATGAGGAGTGTAAGAAGCTTGTTTCGGGGTTCCTTTATCATTTCCTAAATATCTTCTATATCTTTGTCTGTTTTAGGCATTCACAAAAAACAAAATTCAGCTTGGTTTTCACAGTCTTGAGTTTTGTTTGTTTTAGTTGTTTATGAAAACTAAGTCATCAACTCCTTACTCGCTTTGAAATTGTCGCACAAATGAATTTGATATATAATTCATATTTTGCAGTACAATCCAAACTATGCAAAGTACATAACACAATTGAGACATTCCATTGCATTTTGTTCTTGTTCTTGTTCATCTTTCTCCCCATATACATGAAAAAGGAAACTACGACTATTTCCAGGAAGTGCAAATCTTCTGCTACCACCTCTTTGAATATGTGGTACGCATTGCCAAAGCTTCTCATATTCTTCTGTTTTTTCTCCACCTTTCCTTTGACCTCAGTTTCGTCCTCTTCTCCACCTCCCAGTCCCATCTCTTATTCTCATCATTGTGATTCATTTGTTCCCCAGTCAACCCCAAGAAGATATTCAGACAATCACATTCACCAGTACCATACAGGTTACTACACTGGTGGTGGCAGTGGTATTCTTAGTCAAATCCCATCATATCTGCCTCATGATGAGCCCCAAAATATGATTGGATTTAACATCTGGGGGGCTCAAACAACTGATGTACAAGGCTTATTCAAGATTCAGGGAAGTCTTCGATTTCAAAGAGACAGTGTGTTTACCTATGTGGGAAATTCCAGAAGTCATCTACGATATCCTGGTGGCATCTATAACAGGTCTCGATCAATTTCCAGTCTAAAAAGTTCGATAAGATTTAAACTAGAGGGGTTCTGGTCAGAACCTTCTGGGAAGCTGTGCATGGTTGGATCAAGTTCTGATTACTTGGGACATGGTAGTTGGCTTTATATTCCTGCTGTTCTTAAGCTCTATAATCTCATTAATTCTACTAGTGTTACTAGTTTGATTAGTGGAACCTTAGAGAGCTTGGTGAGTTCTGAGAATGATCCAAGTTATTTTGGGCCAGTCTCTATTTTGATGCTTCCTCGTATGAACTACAAGTACTCTCTGGTTTCAAATAAATCCGATGACACTAGTACTGATGGAAATTATATTCAACCGAGCTCTTTGCCAATAGAGACATTTTGTTCAGTACTTTCTAGAGAAAGAAGACATGAGTTTGATCTCAAATATTCAAGCCATTGCGTATTGGCAAAGAACTGCACTCCATTAGCTGTGTCTGATTTGCCTCGTGTGGTGTCATTGAAGAGTATTGAGTGTTCTGAGGATAAACGAAGGTTGAGAGTTCTGGTAATATTTGCGGACAGTAGAAGTGTCTGGTATCAGAAACCTTTCAATCCCAATACAACATTGGTTGGGGAAGGGTCATGGGATGCAAAGAAAAATCAGATTCGTGTTGTTGCGTGTCGAATCTTAAATGCAACTGAGTCTTTTACAAATAGAACTCATGTGGGTGATTGTTCAACAAGATTGAGCTTGAGATTTCCTGCAGTATGGACAATCAGAAACACGAGAAGCACTGTGGGGAAAATTTGGAGCAACAAAACTGTGACAGAGTTGGGTTACTTTGAAAGCATTGCATTTGAAAGTCCTGAGAATGATATCAGAAGGGTTCTACTTCCAGGCTTGAAATATGAGTACACTAAAATGGAAAAAGTAACCAAGTTGTGCCCAAGAAAGAAAGCTGCTCACGGCAAAACCAACATATATCCAAATCTATTTTCTTATGACATGCGCTTTGACATGTCAGTGAAAAATTCTAAAGGAGAAGCTGCATGGGGCAGTGCCATCCCTATCTCCGTCGGAAACAGCTTTTACCAGCATTATCCGTATTCAAATGAAATTCCAAAATCAAGTGCAAGGATTGGACACTTAGCAGCTCCTGTGAGTTACAGCTACAACAACAGCATCCCTGTCAATATCAGCTACCAAATAAGCATCAAATTCAAACAGTTGGGCATTGAAATTTCTGAACTTAGAAACTCTTCAAATTCAAATGGAGTGAAAATTTATGCTGAAGGGATCTATGATGCTAAAGAAGGAAGCCTGTGCATGGTAGGTTGCCGAAATCTGGGCTCAAACAGTGAACAGCCAACAAAAGATTCTGTAGATTGTGAGATTCTTGTCAATTTCCAGTTCCCTCCCACAAATTCAAAGCATGGAAGTTTTATCAAGGGCAGCATTAAAAGTACAAGGAAAAAGTCTGATCCTCTTATTTTTGAAACTTGGAATTTGTTTTCGGCTTCTGGTTACCGGGTTGAAGCAAAGCGATCCATTTGGAGAATGGATGTGGAGATCACCTTGGTTCTTATATCCACCACACTGGCATGTGTTTCTGTGGCATTACAAATCTTCCATGTGAAAAAACATCCTGATGTGCGTCCCTCCATTTCCATGTTCATGCTGCTAATTCTAACTCTAGGCTACATGATACCACTTATGCTAAATTTTGAAGCCATGGTCACGAAGAAAACCAACCGCCGAAATGTTTTACTAGGAAGCGGTGGATGGCTTGAAGTTAATGAGGTAATTGTAAGGGTAATAACAATGGTAGCTTTCTTGTTGCAAATGCGTCTTCTGCAGCTAACATGGTCGGCGAGATCAGCAACCCAAAAGGAGCTCTGGATCATGGAGAAGAAGGCTCTGTTTGTAGCTTTATCAGTATATGTTGCAGGGGCATTAGGTGCTTTGCTTCTGAAGAATTGGAGGAAGGCTGACAGTGATAATGATTTCGTGGTGCTTTCAAGTTATTTTCCAGAGCATCCCATTTTGGATGCCTTGAAATCTTATGGTGGTTTGGTGTTGGATGGTTTTCTGTTGCCTCAAATTCTTCTCAACGTGTTCTGCAAATCAAAGGAAAAGGCTTTGTCTGTTTCATTCTACATTGGAACAACTTTCGTTCGAGCGATGCCACATGCATATGATCTTTACAGGGCTCAAAACTCTGCTCATCACCAGTTGCATGAGTCATACCTTTATGCAAGTCCTGTGGCAGACTTTTTCTCCACTGCTTGGGATGTCATTATTCCTTTTGGGGGTTTACTTTTTGCTGGGATCATTTACTTGCAGCAGAAGTTTGGGGGTCTTTGCATTCTTCCTCAAAAGTTGAGAGAGTTGGGTGAATATGAGGTCTCTTCTGTTACTGAAGGTTAATTATGGAAGTGATCTGGTGCAGCCTCCATGTTTGGTGCAAACTGTAGAGAGAATTGGAGAATCCAACTGTCAGCTTCAATCTTCTTTCTTTTGTATTTTATACATGTAAGTTGGGCTTGAAAAAAATATGTAAGATTTAGCTTTTTATTTCATTTTCTGGTTTCGAAATGTCGAAAATGTAAGCTTTAATGCTCTAGAATAAATTTTGTATGTGAGATATGTGCAGAATAGTTAGTTGCAGTAGTTACAGATTCTTTTTGCATCCCTTTGAAGTGGTGTCATATCTCTTCATATGACCTTTTCAGTTTGGTCACATTTCTTTTTCACTGAAAGATGTTTTTGTGTTGTCATATTTTAGATGGTCAAAAGTGATACAAGGTACATCCAAACTATGAATTTTTAGGTATAGGAACATGATTGGCTCAAAATCTAAGTTTGTATTTTAACAAACTCATTGAAGAATTCCTTCCTTTCCAATGTATATTTATGAGAAATTTTTTTTTTTCCGGGTAAGTTAAAAAAAATATCTGAACTGAAATTTACGATTTGTAACATAAAAGAAACAAACAATATGTAATTTATGTAACCACTTTATAAAATGCATCAAAATATTACTTAAATATCACTCATCTTGTATTTTTTGATACAAAAGTATCAATTAACTTTACATATAATCAAGTTGACAATTGCCCTAGGTCCTAGAAATTTCAACTTTGATGTTGAATATATCATTCCCTTGTATTTTATTTCTTAATTTATTTAAGTAGGTTAATTGACTTAAGCTATAAGTTTGAAAAACAATTAGGCATGTACTGAGTTTTATCTTTTTAAATTTTGAATTGTATAATTCGACAAGTTTTTTTACACTTTTTTTTTTTCGGTTAAAAAATAAATAACATAGGTATATAAGGGTTTATACAAATTGGGGCCTAGGTGACCGCCTTCCCTGCTTATGCCCAAGGCCTATTTTGTTCTTGTTCATGTTCTTGTTGACGATCTTTCTCCCAATACGCATGACCTAAAACCTATGGCTATCTCCATTAACTGCAAGTCTTGTTCTGCTATAACCACCATTACTATACTCCCATACCTTCTTCTCATATTCCTCACTGTTTTAACCACCTTCTCTTGGAACTCAGTTTCAGTCTCTGCTGCAGCTGTTGGTCAAGTCTCTTATGCCGATCATTGTGCTTCAATTGTTCCCGAGTCAACCGTGAAACCCTACAATATACGACGTAGTTACTTTGGCTATCCCCTAACAGGTTACTACAATGGTGGTGGCAGTGGAATTCTCAGTCCAAAGTCATCAGATCATGTCCAAAACTCATTTGAATTCACCCCCTTGAGTGTTAGCGAAACTGATGTACAAGGCTTATTCAAGCTTGGAGCACATATACGTTTTCTTAGAGCCAGAACATATTACTTTGTGGGAAATTCCACAATTAGCCATAGGGGTTCTGCATCAAATCTGTGGGAACCGAATTAAATCACCCTAGGTCAAATAATTCCTTCCATTTGGGGATTATTTGACCTAATTGGGAGTTACTCAATTTAATTGGGAGTTACCCAATTAAATTGGCAATTACCTAATTAAAATGGGGATTGATTTGATTCCTACCCTAATTAGGGATTTGATTTAAATTAGATAAATCAAATCCCTAATTAATCAAATCTCGCCTAATAGGGGAGGAATAATTCCTTTCCATCTACGGAATTATTCCTCTGAAACCCTAGCCTCCGAGGCTCCTATAAATACCTAGCTACACACAAGGGTTCAGGTACGTCTAAATTCCTACTGAAACTCTGCAGAAATTATCCTTCACAAACCCTAGCCACCATCTTCTTTCTCTCTCTCTC